CTCTAGGATAAGATCAAGGGAGCTATGTTGAGATAAGATCTTTTTTCTCTTGCTTGAAACTTGCTTCTAATGTATTGTAAATTGTTTATTTTATTGTAATTTATTGTTTTAATCATTGTATTGTTTTAATCTGGCACTTAGTGCCCTGTAAGCCGCCCTGAGACTTCGGGGTAGGGCGGGGTAGAAATTCAAATATAAATAAATAAATAAATATAAATAAGTCATGCCCTTGTCTGGATATATGCAAAGATATGATGTGAGAGCAGCCGTGGCCGAACCAGGCGAAAGAAAGTTCGCAAGTCTTCTCTTTGGATTAGTTGTGTGCACAGTGATTACTGCACTGGGTTGCATTTACTGTCAGGTACAAGCGTGGCTCGGAAGAATTACATGCCTGTGTTTTAAAAGACTAACAGTAGTTTAAGGAAATGGATGAACAAATATGAATCATATATGACTTCCCATCACATAAGGCTCCATGTGATGTTAAGTCATATATCTGTTTTAAAAGACAGCAAGTCAATGGAGTCCTGGTCAATGCTCCCCCTAAGCTGTGGAGTCCTCTGAGCAAAAATTCTACTTTGTGAGCTACTGGCATAAAAGCTGTGAGCAGGTGATTTGGCTACTGAATAACTTAGTTAGCTCTGGAGCCCTCCTTCCTGAACTAAGACAAAACCGTGTGAGCCAGAGGCTAAAAAAACTGTGAGCTAGCTCACACTAACTCAGCTTAGAGGGAACACTGGTCCTGGTCAACTTTTGCACCCTCTGTCTTTCACATGTTCCATGCAGCAGCAGTGGCGGCGGCAGCAGTGGTGGTCTCGTGCTTTATCCGGCTTCCCCCCACCCCAGGTCTTTGCTTTGAGATTCCCTTGAAGGAGCATTGCTTAAAGAAGCACCATCTCTCCTGTAGTGGCCCATGTGTGCTCTCTGAGGTCTGCTGATGTGTTCTAGGGTCCTCCTGAGACTGATTAATTTGCACTGTGATTGGAAAGCCAGATCATCTGACAGGAGCCATACCTGCGCGCTCCTTCCACTGATAGGCTGGCATTCTTCATAGCTACCATCTGGCTCTTGTGATTGGTGGTAGATAAGGAGCAGGCTGCCCTTTGGCCCGTGAGATCACGTGATCTGTATACGGAGACTGCACGACTTTCCCAGAGGTCCAGCTGTCATTGGGGTATGTAATTCTGAGGTCTGCTGCTCGCTTCTTAAAAGCAGGGTAGCATGTTTGCTAGGAAAAGGGCAGGAGAGAAACTGGGCAAAGTTGATACTCCCACAGTTTATGGGACACTGTCGTATCCAGAGAGATCAGACGTTCTGGCCGAGCTTGGTAGCCCAACTGTTGCTTGTAGCCTTTCGTAAGTACTTGGAAGGGCTGCTTCCTCCCACCTAAACTTGCCAGACTTTAAGATGTGCTTGAGAGGCCATCTCTGGGTGTAATGTATTGAAATGCTTACATGAATCGCCTCATTGACCTGCCATGTAAAGCTTCAAGCCAAGCTACGGCTCCTCCAAACGAACAGGTTCCTATTGGTCGCTCTGTACTAGCGACCAATCAGAACTGTACCAGTTCCCTGCGAGGGAAAGACTCTCATTGGTCCTTATCCAAACAACCACATTGGTTGATTATTGTAAATAGGTGTGGCTACGTTAGCCCGGGAATGTTTAAAAGGAGCCTAGCTCCCAATGTTAAACTGTTCTGGTTATGAATGCTTTCAAGCGCTTGTTCGTTACTTCAATAAAGCTGATTCACTTGCTGAAACCACTCTACGGATCTTTGTTAGCCGCGATCTAACACTGGGTACCTCTGCCTTTGTGAATTAGATGGGTGGTGGCCACGGAGAGGGCCTTTTGGGCGGTAGTGCTTGTTCAGTCAGGTCTGGGAAGTTTCTAGGCAAAGTTACACCCTTCTAAATCCATCAAAGTTAATGGGCTTAGCAGGGATTGCCGATGTACGCTGTCTTTTCAGTGTTCGTTTAAGATCTTCCTGTTCTCCAAGGCTTTTAATGGCCGATCTGTACTTCGTTTTGCTCATTATTTATCAGGGTTAATGGAGGAACGTTTTAATACGTTGCGACTTTTAATTGCTTAATTGTAATTTTTTATTTTCATTTGTTCTGAAACCGATTTTGGGTTTGTTTGTTTTTCTTGCATGCTACTTGGAGGGCGCTTCAAAGTAAAACGGCTTGTAAATGTATGTGTGTGGGGTTTTTTTTGGGGGGGGGTTGTTACAGGGCAGTAGTCTTCAACCCGTGGATCAGGCCTTGGGTCTGGGAGCCCTTTCTGTTGGGTCACAAGTCCCTCTGGAGCTAATTCTTGAGTCTTTCCCACTTTCGGAAGGACCTACTGTGTAGAAAGCCGGGGTGGTCATAACTCTGGCAAGCCCTCGTCCTGTCATGTGACACGGATGCTGGAAAGGCTGAAGGCCACATAACAGGGGAGAAGGTGGGTGGTTTTGAGGGAGAGAGAGAGTGTGTGTGTGTGTCCCTGTAGTCTGTAATACTTACAGGGCATCCAGCTACAAGGTGCAGTGTGGGAGCTGTTTAAAAGAGACATTGTGTCTCCTTGCCTTAGTGGGGGGGGGCCTTTATGTTAAGTCGCTCGCTTAACAGAATAGTCGGAGAGTGATTCAGCAAGAACACAACTTTATTCTTCCACTCGAACACAACTCCAACACGGATCAACATCTGACAGCCAGAACAGCCTTTACATTGCAGCTGTCCTGCTTTTAAACATTCCCAGCTAATGTAGCCACACCCACTGTACACATATCAACCTATGAGGTTGCAGAGATAACATCCAATCACATTCGTTCCCGCTCAGGGAGCTTGCTTGAAGTGATTGGCTTGTTCCTTCCTGGGCCAGCAATACTATTGGATGACTTTGGATCCTAGCCCAGGACGAAGCTTTACATCACATTCCAATTAGATGTTTCACACATGTTAGGCATTCAAGGCAGCTTTGAATACACTGCACTTAAAAAAAAAAAAACCATTTCTGTGGAGGAGGCGTTTGGAGGCTTTCCCTTCTGATGGTCATCTGGCCGCCACTGGTGAGCAAGGTTTAACGTTTGTATTTAGAAGGTCTGTTGACCATGTAATAAATTGTCGCTGTTGATGAGAAAATAAATGGCTGGTGTGAGACACCCTTTTGCTGTTCTCCTGCAAAGGTGAGCAGTAGAGCCGCTGTTCATATCCGTTCATGACCCTTGCTTTCTGCTCCCTGCTGCTTTTTTGCTGAGGTGGGGAAAAACAGCTGAGAAATGGGGAGCAGAAAGCAGGGGTTTAAATGGCTCAGAAACCCCTGCTTTTTCTGCTCCCTGCCACTCAGCTGTTTTCAATGAAGAGCAGAAAGAAGGGGATTAAATGGCTCGGAACGGCTCAAACCCCTGCTTTTCTGCTCTTCACAAACTGCCACAAACTGCCTTCAAATTCATGGGATGTTGCTTTACAAACCATGAACCGCCCAAAATTCAACACAAACATTTGTTCGTGAGCCTGTTCGTGCCCATTCCTACTCTGACCCAGGAGGGCTCTTATGTTCTTCTTATGATGCAGAACGGGCTTGTTCAGACAACTTAAAGCCCTGGTCTTATTTTTCACAAAGAGGACGAGCAAGCTTGCACTTGCGTGTGGCAAATGCTTGGCTTCCATTCTGTGTCAGTGTGCTGGAACAGCCCACTGCTTGGACTCCTTTCTCTTTCTCTGGGACAGCTAGTTCAAATTCTTCCAGCTTGACGATGGAGTCTGGAGGGCGCTGCACTTTAAAAGGCGCCAGCCATTTAATCCTGCCCAGGAGAACACAAGCAAATAACTAAGAGTCCTGCGACCGCACTTCAACGACACCGTAGTGGTGGTTACCCTGGGAGTGTTAACTGAGTCAGATGTGGTGCTGAAGTGCACAGCTGAGTCGGGAGAGGGGCTCCTGTCTTACCCTGGGAGTGTTAACTGAGTCAGATGCGGTGCTGAAGTGCACAGCTGACTCGGGAGAGGGGCTCCTGTCGTGATGGATCAGGTAAATGCAAAGATTTCTGCTAGCCCCCTTGTCTGCGTCCACCCGTCTTCCTCATTTGTGGCACATCAACAACTTGACAATGAAGAGCAGCCATCTCCATTGACGGAAGCTTCCCCGCGGGGTTGACTGGGAAGCAAGACTCCCTTGCCACAGGTAGCCCATTAAAGGGTTACTGGGATGTTTCTGTTTCCTCTCTTCCTTTGCAGAGTTCATAGATGATGGGGAAGCAGACATTCACCTGACGACGTCAACATGTTTCCCCTAAAAGTAAAGGTTCCCTTGCTCGAAAGCCAGTCGAGTCCGACTCTAGGGTTGCGGTGCTCATCTCCGTTTCAAAGCCGAAGAGCCAGCGCTGTCCGAAGACGTCTCCATGGTCATGTGGCCGGCATGACTAAACACCAAGGCGCACGGAACGCTGTGACCTTCCCACCGAAGTGGTACCTATTTATCTACTTGCAATTTCTTGCTTTCGAACTGCTAGGTTGGCAGGAGCTGGAACGAGAGACGGGAGCTCACTTTGTCAGGCGGCACCCAGGTCTCGAACTGCTGAACTACCGACCAACCACTTGAGCCACCGCAGCTCCTACACCTGAGTATATTCCACATATAGAGAGATCATCAGAAGAGAAGCAACTTTTGGTGTTGCTCTAAAAGGCAACAAATGGCAGAAACCTCATTGGGAAGTTACATTTAAATAAATGTATACAATTAAATGCACCAATATGTAAAAGTTGTGGCATTTTGTATAGGAGCAGATGTCCTCCCTACGGTGTTAACAGCTCAAGGATGTATAAAAGATGTTCACACCCTCCTCCTGTGGGGAAGAAATGTGTGGTGTATTCAAATCAGTATAAAGTGTACGTGAATTCACTCATTGGGACACTATGCAGAGCATCGTCCTGGGCAAGGATCCTAATTCCTCAATTCCTATTGGTAGCCCTGGAGGAGCCGACCAGTCACCTAACATCCAGTTCCCAGAGAGGGAACGTCAGTGATTGGACTATATCTTTACAATCCTATTGGTTGTAATGTACAGTAGGGCGTGGCTACAGTAGCCCTGGATAGTTTAAGAGGAGCCCAGCTGCAATGCAAATATTGTTGTTCTGGTAGTTCTGTTCTGGTTGTGTTAAGCGTTGCTCATTAAAGCTGAAATCACTCTCTGACTCTTTGTTAAGTAGCCGACTTCACAAAATGTTCAGTGAAGTAAAGATCCAAAGTTTCCTTCCGTTAAGCGTGCTAGTCTGGAACCAGTCATTTTCTCTCTCTCGTGAAGGGGTGGAGTGTGGTCTGGGAACGTCCGGCAGACGAAGTTGCAGAAGTAGGGGGTATGGGTGGGCCGATGCCTCGTCTTCAGTTTAAGTGTGTGTTTGAGAACAGAAGACTCAAGAAGACATCCTTCAGGAAAAGAGTAAAAGTCAAGTAGCACCTTTTAAAATTAACAAAATTTATTGTAGCATAAGCTTTCTAGAAACACAGCTCTCTTCGTCACAGTCATGCATCTGACGAAGACAGCTGTGTTTCTCGAAAGCTTGTGCTACAATAAAGTTTGTTCATCTTAAAGGTGCTACTGGGCTTTTTACTGTTTAGAAACAAACATGGCTAACTCCTCTGGATCCTTCAGGAAAGCTTTGAAAGGAGCACAGAGAATTAGGTAGAATGGGGGGTCGAACGACCCTTTCACAGGGGTCGCCTAAGACCATTGGAAACACAGATTTTCGATGGTCTTAGGATAGAGCTCCCAAGTCTCGCCAAATCGCGGTGGGGGATTGCATCCTGCATATCAGACATTTACATTACGATTCATAACAGTAGCAAAATTATAGTTATGAAGTAGCAACGGAAATAATTTTATGGTTGGGGGTCACCACAACATGAGGAACTGTATTAAAGGGCCGTGGCATTAGGAAGGTTGGTGCTTGGGGGGGGGGTCAACAGTGGGAGGGCTTCTAATGTCCTGGCCCCATGGGTGGACCTCCTGATGGCACTGGTATTTCTGGCCACTGTGTGACACAGAGTGTTGGACTGGAGGGGCCTTTGGCCTGATCCAACATTGGCATCTCTTATGTTCTTACGTTTAACTCTCAGTCTGGGGCAAGTGATGCTCTGTCTTCTTGGTGCATGGGGGGGTCAACAGTGGGAGGGCTTCTAATGTCCTGGCCCTACTGGTGGACCTCCTGATGGCACCTGGTATTTCTGGCCACTGTGTGACACAGTGTTGGACTGGAGGGGCCTTTGGCCTGATCCAACATTGGCATCTCTTATGTTCTTATGTTCTTAAGGTTGAGAGCCACTGAGCGTTTTCAGTGGCTACTCCCCTTTGATCAAACAGCCTTCATGAAATTGTTTGGGAGGCTTCCACTCCAAACCTACATAGACAATACAGCTCTGTGGAGACCTGCAGGCCATCTTCTGCCATCTACGCTTGAAGGAATACTTTCACCACAGCACAGGATGGAACACGCTCGGACCGACTGCCTCTTCACATCTTCCACAGTCTCTGCTTCCAAACAGCTGCCTCCTCCTCACCCTTCCACCACCAATTAGCTCCCACTCAACACTGCAGAAAGAAGGACTCCATGTGTACTCCCCCTGAAGGCCACAACACCACACGGGACCTATGTATAGAATGCTTCCGCCACTGGGCCTTGAGTTCCGTGAAGTAAATCTGAATCCCTTAGCATACCTGAGGAAGAAGGCAAAAGGCTTCAGCAGGTGTGGGCAACATCTGCACAGGAATGGCCTCAACTGTTGTGAGGAGTGTGGTGGCCTTCAAGAGGCATGACCAGTGCCAGGTGACAACATCGGAGGAAGGCCAGGAGTCGAGAAGAAGAGCTGGTTTGCGTACCCCGCTTTTCTCGACTCGAAGGAATCTCAAAGTGGCCTTCCTTTCCTCTCCGCACAACGGGCGCACTGAGACAGCGCAGAGAGAACCGTGACCGGCCCAAGGTCACCCAGCTGGCTTCATGTGGAGGTGGAGGAGTAGGGAATCAAACCTCCTGCCTCACCAGATTAGAGTCCGCTGCTCTTAACCAGGACACCACGCCGGCTCTAACCATGCTGGTCGAGCGTGCTGGTTGTTGACCTCGCCTCTCCAAAGTTGGCCTCACCTTTCCATGCCGTGTGGTAGCACAGATTGAAAAGTGTCCATCAAAATGACCCCTCACAAGGGGGCGGGGGATGTTTCCTTCAGGCCCCCCCCAGTACTGTAGAAGGAGACGTGGGGGGTGGTGTGTTGTCTTTGCTGCATCCCTAAAGAGTAGACCCTCTCTTTGATGCCCTTCCTTTTAGGGGCTATGTGCAACAGCCGCGGGCAAAATGCTGGCGTCAGGGCCACTTAGCAGCAACCAGATGCAGCCGTGGGGGGTCCCTGGGGGAAGGCCTTTCTCACCCAGACGTTGGAGCCTAGGAAAGGAGGCGCCCGTGAGTCGCTCTCCCTCTTCTCGCTCATCTGGTGGCTTGGCTGGAAAAGGGTCAAGCGGTGGGCCTGGTCTCAAGAAGGATCTGGCTGGAGGAGGGTGGTATTTTTGGGTCTTCGAGAGTGCTCACGGATGCGCTTGCATGGTGATGGGCTTTGTGTGTGCGCGCATGCGCATGCACAAAGAGGACATTCCTTTTGTGAGGATAGATCAAGATGGGTCACTGTGTTAGTTTGTCTGTAGCGGTAGAAAAGAGCAAACGTCCAGTAGCACCTTAAAGACGAACAACGTTTGTCCTGACCTGGATAGCCCACGCAAGCCCGTCAGATCTCGGGAGCAAAGCAGGGCCGACCTTGGCAAGGCTTTGGACGGGAGACCTCCAGAGAATACCAGGGCCGGGATGCAGAGGCAGGCGATCAAGCCACTCCTCTGGATGTCCTCCGTGCCCCCGTAAGAGTCGCCAGAGGTCACCATGACGTCCAGGCACGGACACACACACACGTGCATACACACACACAGTGCAAAAATACAAAAAGAGACTAACAAAAATGGTGGCTGGGGGATCAGCTTTTGTGAGTCACTGCTCACTCCTTCATCCCCTGCCACAGATTTTGCTAGTCTTGAAGGTGCTGCTGGACGCTGGCTCTTTTCTACTGCTGTTGTGAGGAGTATGTGCAGCACTGATGTTCTGACTCAGTCAGCACGCCAGACTCCAGGGGAAAGAATCCCCTTTCTCAAGCTTCCCTGAGCTTGGCCCCATTTCCATTGGGACGGGCCCATTTTTTAAAAAGCTGTGGCTGTCTGTTTTTACCTGGCTCCCTCTTGCGAGGGTGGGATGGCAGCTGCTCTGGGGGGTGGCTCTCCCTGCCCGCCCGGCCGGCCAGCCACACGGGGGGTTCTCTTCCTCCCGTGACAGCTGAGCCGGCCCACTGACCTTTCCCACCGTGGCTCTCCACCTGCCTTCTTTCCCAAATGGCTGCGGCTCGGATGCCCGCGTAGACTGGCAGACGGCGGCTGCCTTTGGGAGATGCTGCTCCCTGAGACCCTCCGTGTGTCTGTGGGTGCTGCTCGCGGGTTTTACTGTGGCTAAAAATCATTCACTTGTCTGCCTTTCCATTAGACATGCACAAATCCCGAAGGGGTTGAACAAAGACTTGGTTCAGAGCTTCATTCTGCTTGAGATGAGGAGAGCTCTGGCGTTGGTCTCTGTTACTGGAGAGTCAGCCGAGTGACCCTCCTTCTTCGACACCTGCACCTCTGGAAAAGTCTTCTGGGCTTGACGTTTCAGCAACCTGGAGAGTCTGTTCTGTGCTGTCCCTCCTGCGAAGAAGAAGAAGAAGAAGGAAGAAGAAGAGGAAGGAAGAAGAAGAGGAAGAAGAGGAAGAAGAAGAAGAAGAAGGAAGAAGAGGAAGAAGAAGGAAGAAGAAGAAGAAGGAAGAAGAAGAAGAAGGAAGAAGAAGGAAGAAGGATTGGATTTATACCCCGCCCTTCACTACCCAAAGGCGTCTCAGAGCGGCTTACAAACTCCTTTCCCTTCCCCTCCCCACAACAGACACCCTGTGGGGTGGGTGGGGCTGAGAGAAC